CTCCCATGCCCTGGGGCCACCAGGACAAGTGAGAGCTTGGGACATCCGGTTATTCCTCTATGCTGTCCAAGTCAAGATGCAAGGACACCAGGACATAGGAAGAAACCTGCCACCTGCCTCCCTGCTCATCCTTTGAGCATGTAGCTCCTGAGTAGGGGTCAGGCGAGTTTTTTGGGTTGGGGTTTTTTAAATATATTTTGGAAAACTTTTCGTGTTCCAGGTTGCATTAGCCAGATCCGTTCTGAATCCTTTGAATCGTTCAAAAACCATATGTGGTCCTGCTACTCGCAAGTCCCCTGCACCCCAAGTCTGGGGCTTCAGATACATCCAAATCCATTGGCAGGCATCCCACGTGCGGGCCCAAGCCCAGGGGCTTGGGGTTTGGATGCCTCCGAGTTTCATTTGCCCTCAGCCAACAGCCTCAGGAGCAAGCTAGAGAAGAGTCCCCCATTTCTATGAAGTTGGTGTGTAGTTGAGCTCCTCCTGCTAGAAGCTGGCCAGTGGGAAGCGAACTAGGAGGCTTTCATAGGCAGTCCTGTCCTCATGTGGATCGGGGTGCACCCTCCACTACACACTGCCATTTGAAATCCATCTTGGCTCAGGCATTAGACCAGCTCAGCGACTACACTTGATCTTTGCCCACAAGAGACCAAGAAGATGCCCTTTCAGTCCCAATCTCTTGTGATTCCTTGACCTCAGGCCTGCCCTCAGGTCTGTCCAACACAAGGAAATCAACACTACAGAGGCTGTTCTGGGCACAGGAACAAACAGAAATCTACTCTTGGGCTCCCCACAGGCAGAAATACCAACACTGGGACTCACGCACACACATGTGTTCACATGCACCGACTGAAGGGCCTCACCTTTCTATCATCACCTGGCTGCTGTCTCAGCTCCCTCCTCCATCACCTCCATCCTGATCTGGGGGAGTTGTTCACAATTTGCTAATCAGCAGAGGAAGGAGGATGACCCACCAGGCGGGACCTGAAATCCAGGGTGGAGACCTCGGTGCAGATAGCATTTCCCTTCCAGTTAGCCTGCAGAGCACCTGGGAACGGGAGCACTGCCAGGGGTCTCCAGGGCTGGGACACGGATTTCCAAGGTAAGGAACTGCCTGAGGCAGCCTGCCTGGGATGCACTTGCCAACTGCTCCCAGCTGCCACCTCGTCCTGCCATGTACAAGGATGCAAAGAGGCTGTTGGACAGTCCCACCAGGATCTGTGTGTGTGACCACGTGTATGCATGTGTGTGCACTATGCCTGCACAGTGCAGAGGTAAAGCAGCTCTATATCGCTGAGCAAACACAGCCTCCCCTGAGGCATCTGTTGTACCTTGGCGGGGGCAGGTGGGAAGATTTGCTCTGCTTGCAATTGCAGGGGACCTGTTCAGTTCCTCCCAGACACCAGGACTCAGGCAAAGCCCTGAGGAGTCTGCGGACGCGTGCGGGTGCCCAGCTCCATGCTGGGGTGTTCCCCGCCCAGACACAGACACACCTGCTCTGGCCAGTGTCTGCAAGCTTCTCACTTGCAGCAGGCGGGGAGTCTTGCTAGAGGGACCGGACTTTGCCATACAGGTACGAGGAGTCTTCGCTGACAGCAACCAGGAGTCAGAAGTGGCTTCTACTTAGAGTCACTTTGTTTGTAGCCAGAAGCCACTGCGAGGATGTGGCTGTTCCTGGTGGCCCTGCTGGTGCTGTATGTCCTGCGCCGATGGTACCGGGAGCAGCAAATGGTTGGGAACCTCCCGGACAAACACGTCTTCATCACGGGCTGCGACTCCGGCTTAGGGCACCCG